TTCCGGTGAGTTAGATGATAACAACCGAGCGATTGCAAGTGTAACTCGGCAGTCAGACCAGGCTGTGCATCGTACCAGGATAATGAAGCTGCTTCCGGGAGAGCGGCTGGGATGGTGGTCAGCACAGACGTTTGATCGCCGAGTTAGAATGAGAGCCCTCGTATTGGGTGCAGTGAACGACCGAAGGACCAAGATATTATTGGATACCGGAGCAAATGTCTCGGCGATCAGTAAGTACTTCGCGAGGAAACTGCGTCTCAAGAGAGTGGCCAGCCGAGATAAGCGAATTGACATACAAGGAATAAGTAAAGACAGGATGGTGACAACGTCAAGAGCAGTGGTGAAGGTGACACTCGGCTGGGAAGTGGCATACGAGTTTGAAGTATGGATAATGCCTCATCATGCCGGAGTCGATTTGATTCTCGGCACCGACTTTATGATCCCAGCTGGAATACGTCTGGATCTGTACAACTCGGCGGTCAAGCTACCCGATGAGATGGTGATACCACTCATCCGGTCAAGTAATGCACCGACCAAGACCGAGTTCGGACCAAATGTACCATGCGGGCCACCAGACGGGTTGACGATCGAAAGTCGAATGACCGCTGAGTTCAAATTACCCAGGCGACAACCCAGTGAGTCGACGCATGACCTATGGGTGCGACGGACGAAGGGTTGGATTCCAACGGTTGTTTTTAATCGCCGAGGAAGACCAACCCATGTCCAGATTACGAACGTACGACAGACGTCAGTCTGGTGCCCACCTCACTTTTATGTGATAAAATGGCAACCACACGGAGTACTGGCCAATGAGGGATATGTCCGCGTGAACTCGGCGAAGTACCGTGACTGGCAGATATTGGCATTTGAGTCAGCGATGGACGAAGATTTGCTGCAGAAAGAACAACGACTGTACGAGGACTGGTTGTCACACCAGCCGCCAGCTGTGGAAAGACGAAAATACCCAGTTCCGACGGCGGTGGAAAAACGACCCCCTCCAGTGGAAAATGGACCAGAATTAACATGCGCCGAACGCTGGAGAAGGATCGAAGCTGATACTGAAGCCGGCGACGACGAGAGGCGTCGCGGTAACGCAGACGTCATATCGACTTCAGGGGTGACAAGGGGTGACCCGGCTATAAACTCAGCGCTCAAGCTGGAAGACGTCCGAGCGGATCGTACGCCGGTGCAACACGATGGCCAAGATGTATCCTATCAGCTGTCCAAGTTTGAAGACTATGGCGCCATTTCTGACGTCAGCACGAACTCAGCGGTTGAAGAAACAAGTGCAGCAAGGGCCAA